GATTAAAGCTTATTAATTCCACAGTTAAAATGAAACATAGCAAGCTAAACCACAATAATAAGTGATTAGAATTCAGTATTGTTTCAACCCTCATTCACAGTTAGTTTAAGCCTCTGATGTTTCAGTATGTGATGTTTACAGAATAACGAAAAATTAGAATGATTGAAAAGTTTTCTAAGTTTGAAATGTTACTGTGAAAATGAAGTGAGAAGATAACATGAAGCAAATGAAGTGGAGTCCCTAAATGCAGGAAATGAAGACGTACAGGAAATCTAAAAATGTCAACATACCATTATAAAAAAAAAAACCTCTTAACAAAAGGGATGTTTATAATGGGTTGCGGTATAAAAAAAGGTCATGTCATCTGGTGAAAACAAAATAAATTATTGAACTACTTTAAAACTTTGAAGTCATTTTTTAGTCATTCAAAAAAGCATACAAGTAAAGCAATATTTTTCTGATTTTTTAAGCCATTTGGGTATACACACACAACATAAATAATTACAAAAGGTTAAAGAATTATTTTTAATAATTTAAAGACATCTTTAAGGTAACCTTAGAGACAGATGCAAATTTCATTATGATTCAGATGAATCTATGCAATGTCATCTTTACAACACCAGTCCTTACTACCCAAGTACATTGCAATAATCCATTGTTGGGAAAGGAATTTCCTAGAGATCTCCAGAAGTACCACCTTCTGAATTATGCCTAAAACATGATAGATTGTCAGTTCCATACAATGTGTACCTCACATCTAAGAAACCACTCCATTTGTTGGCATGATTGACTTTTACTTCGATAGACCTCAATTTCTGTTTTTGCTTCTGATGCTCATACACCTATCGGTTTTCCTTGTATATGTTTTAGTGACATTTTTCCTAAATGGGACAATTTATAGCAATGTGATCCTAGCTACCCTATTAATTGCTACTACTGAATTATTAGCTTTATAAAGTAGCAAAATAGTCTATTTGCTGACATCTGTTGCATTTATTTAAAAATATTCATGAGTTCTAAATTATAGTTATATAATATTTTTACAGAGATCATTGGCTTAATGGCTGATACATAATCTTAGAATGTTCTTGATTTTACTGCTAATGTCTATTAGCTATTATTGCTTTTTAGCATGAATGCCGTTAGATACTCAATGAGGTTATCTCTGGATCAATTTATTGTTATTATTGTTATTATTATTATTATTATTATTTACAAAAGCTGTCATTTCACTGGTGTAGCATACTGCTGGTAAGAAACCAATGTGTGTCAGCAACTTTTTTTTTTTTTGTAACTTAAAGACTTAGAGTTCCCTAGGCAATTGATAAGTTAAGTGCTTTCATAGGGCCCTAAATATATTATATAAATGAGAAAAGCAGATGGTTCAGTGAAAAGAGGGTCAGTCTTTGAGTGAGGAAGAACTTGATTCAAGTGTTGCTTCAGATACATATTAACTGTGTGATACATGGATAAGCCAGTTAACTTCTCAGTGCCCCCAGACAACTCTATAAGACTATACATTACTGTATACAGAAAGCTGGGGGCAGCTTGGTGGCACAGTGGATGGAATCAGGACAACTTGTGCTCCAATCCGGCCTCAGACACTTACTAGCTAGCTGTGTGACTCTGGGCAAGTCACTTAACCCTGTTTGCCTTTGTTGCTCATCTGTAAAATGAGCTGGAGAAGGAAATAGCAGAGTCTTGCCCAGGGTCACACAGCTAACAAGTGTCTGAGGCTGGATTTGAACTCAGGAAGATTAATTAGTCTTCCTAATTCCAAGCCCAGCACTCTTATCTTCTACGCCAAACACTGGAAGTCCTTAAGTGTTCAGTGGCCAACATTTACTGAATGTGTATAAAAGGTTAAAAAAAATAGCATGAAAGGTTTGCCAGGCTTCACTGCAGTGCACTAAATTTACTGTTTTAACTTACTATAATCCTAGGATAGTTAATAATTAACAGAATAAATGTTCAAAGGAAAAGACCAGTGGCAAAAAAATGAGGGGACAAATCATCTGAACTCTAGACACCATAAAAGTTATATTTTTAGATTTGTAGACAAAATATTAAAGATATTAATGAAGCATTTCACTTTGGTATTATAAATATTTCAGAATTTATAAAATCTTGTTTAAGTGCAAACACCTACTATGAAACATTATTTTTGTTTCCTTAGGTTTGGAAAAATGGGCAATATCAAATAGGATATTTGTAAAATGTTAACCAAACTACTGATTCCATAGAGAAAAGGAATCTATGCTTTTAATTTACCAGCTGAGTGGGAATAAAAATAAGGAAATGATTTGAGCAATCCAAAGCCTGATATTCCTTAACTGCTCAGCACAACACATCTCACACAAACGCAAACTTTTCAACATTAAAATTCAAATGTGTATGAATAGTTAAATAACTTCCTACTCTGATCTTCAAGTGGCTGCCAAATATGACCATGCATCTTTCAGTAAAGTGTGCTTTACACATGTATTATATGGATTACTAGACAATATATACTGTTAATAGAAGGTTGATGGCATGCTCACATTTGGCAGCTGTTTGAAGAACACAGTAAGGAATTAATTTATATGCCTAGGATCTGTGGTTGAAAGAGATCTTAGAGGTTATCGAGAGATTATCAAATGAGATAATATGTACAGCAATGGAGGCAATATAAATACTAGCTTTTACTATGGTCAAAATACTTCATTGTACAAAGCTCAGAGAAACAAAATGACCTGCTTTTAATGTCACATAACTGGTAAGAATCGGAACCCCAATCTGAACCCATAAATTCTGGCTCCAAATTGAATGCCCTTCCTACCAAAATGCTCTAGCATATCATAGAAAAAACATGATGAATATGTATGGGGAGTGGGGGGCATCAGGATGTGTGTTTGTGTGTGTGTGTGTGTGTGTGTGTGTGTGTGTGTGTAACATTTCTATCAGGCAACCAATAAGTTTTATAGTTTTAGCAAACACTTCTGTACTTATCTCTTGCCCTTATTCAAGTATATCTTTGAGAAACTCAGTAGCTTCACATTATAGGAGCTCATTTCAGTGCTACTTTTTTTTTAGACACATTCTCTCAAAAGGATACTTGAGACTATAACATTTCCAGACAACTTAATCATGAAGTTTCATAACTTGCTTTCTATATCTGCACTATTCCCCAGGCCTCTGGCCCTGATAGAGACTTTCACATTGTATGCTAACTGCAAAGATATTCTTTACCTGGTAATAAAATAGTCTTCTCTATTCAAAATTCCTCAATTTTAATTCCTAATTTACCAATCAACTAAATTCAAAATGTCTAAAGAATCCTGCAACAAAAAAAAATTTTTTTTAAATAATTCAAAGAGCTTTCTGTGGTTTATAAATGTTACTGAATATAAAATATACCTACTAAAATAAAGCCTGGTCATTAAACAAACACTGTGAAGTACTAGCTAAAATCACTAGAAGTGTACCTATACACATTGGACACATCGGGTAGGTAGTGGGGAGGGAATGTATCTTTTCCCAATCTTCCTCCTTTCTCCTTTCCCTTCTCCACCCCATCCACTAAAAAAAAAAAAAAAAAATGATTCTAGGCACAGATAATTTATTTCCTGAAACATTTGCTAGATGACCACACAAAAGAACTTAAGAAAATAGGGCACTGACAAGTTAAATCAGCCAGTAGCCAAATAAGGCTGCTACTGTCTCTAAATTGGATTGTTTCCCTGTTTCTACAAAAAGGAGAAAATGAAGAGGAGGGGGAAGGGAGGGAGAATAAGAAAGAGGAGAGGAAAGAGAGGAGGAAGAAAGAAGGGGGAGAGAAAAAAGGAGGAAGGGGGAGGGAAAAAAGGGAGAAGGAAGAGGAAGAGGAAGAGGGAGGAGGAGGAAGAAAGGAGGAAGGGAGAGAGGGAGAAGGAGAAACAGAAGACAGAGAAAGAATATCCCAAGTAGCAGTACAACTGTCAATGCAAGAGTAAACAAACATTTATTAAGCACCTATGTTTGTGCACTGCTCTATGCTTGGAAACTATAAGAAACACAAATTATAAATTAAAATTAGTCCTTTCTTATAAACAGATATCTTGCTACAAAGAAAATGCAATAACTGTTTTGTCAGTAACATTCAATATGTATGTTCCCATATATAAAGAATATCTAGGTTAGGTGCAACTGATCTGGACATATGATAGGCGTAGTGCTACTTTTTATCAGCCAACACCAGAACCCAGACATATTGACAAATGCTAACGTTTCCAAGAATTTTGAAATTTCTAGAATCTTCCTCGCATTGCTGGTTTGATAATAAGATTATCATTATGTTCTCAATGTACTTTAGCTAAGGTTATAGAATTTTAAAAAGTCCAATATTTCTAAATATACATCTTATACATTATATATACTATGCCATTAATTTACATTTTGTGGTTATTTAGACAGAATACGGGTTAGCCATTTTACTTTGGGAGGAAAATATTGCCAGAAATCACAAGTATCCAATCTAAACCAACAAGTATTTATCAATCCACTATTATGTGCAGAGCTAGCTTTGGTAGCCGCTGGATATACAAAGACCAAAGAGAAAAACAAAACAAAAGCAACAACAAAAAAAAACACAGTCTGCCCTCCAGTAGTTTAGCCTGGGGTGAGACAACGTGTAAAGAAATATACATAAACATACTAATTTAAAAAGAATGAGAGCACTAACTACTAAGAGAATGAACCAAACAGCAGATAAAGCAGCATTTATTGAGTACTTTTTGGCTTCCTGGAGCTGTGCTGGCACTGTTTAAAGGCTTCCCTTAGGAGAAGGTAAAAGAGCTTTCTTCTAGGGACTTTTCAGCAGGTTTTTTTTTTAAAGCTGTCTAGGATTTTATTTATTTTTTAATTGAAACTACTGAGGTATTAGAAACTCTCGCCTCTCTCTATTCCCCACTACTCTTATAAACTGAAGCTACTCTTATAAACTGAAGCTACTCTTACAGGGGGTGCACATTCCAGAGACTGACCTGATTTATCAGCGGAATCATCAAACTCAACGTTGAAAGAGTGACCATTGTTGACGATCCTCTTAGCAGTAGAAGGGTCATAGGAGAACTCCAAATGTTTCAGAGCATCGTCATACTGCGTTTTAGAGTACTCAATTTCCACAGGAGACTGTCGTTTTCCAAGGGCAATAGGAAAAGCCTTATACCAGCTATCTGGCCCTATGGTGAGAGAAGAGGCATATGTATCTGTTAAGAGAAGAAAGTACAAAGGCCAAACCCACCAGAGGATAGCCCTTTAACAGAATGTGCAACAGACAACAGGTCACTGGAACAAGGTGGACTAAGCTGACAGCGGGACTGGGAGGCAGATCCGTAGATCCGCCACCTGCAGTCTTTGCCTTCTGTAGACATTAGACACTACTTGTTTAATTTGGTAATGATAGCAGAAACAGCCCACTTTTGCAGGCAACTCTAAAAAAAAATTTAACATCTATGTTATCTCAAAGCGTTTTCATACTCTCTCTCTCTCTCTCTCTCTCTCTCTCTCTCTCTCTCTCTCTCTCTCTCTCTCTCTCTC